GTGATAGAGAAAATTTTTTTTGGAGGATCTATGGTTTCTTATGTGTTGGCAACAAGTATTGAATTAAATTGAACAATGAGCTCTATGAACAAATGAGCAGCAATATATTCTCAAAATGTATTTTAAGTCGACTTGAGTTCTGACTGACCGCTGCTTTGGCAAACTTACATTAAAGTGCTATAGTATTTGTTCAATATTATTTTCAGAACAATATAGTAAGTTCTATAGAAAATGCTTTGTCGCTTATTTGTTAATAAACGTCCTTTGCCATAGAATTTTACCTTTGAACCTTAGTAAACCTTTATATGTATACATCTAATGTAATTATGAGTAGCAATAGAGATCCTCATGTTATATACACGGCCTTATGGAGTTATATACAGTGTTAGACTGTGGATAAACTACAGGACTCTACATTATTTTTTAAATATTTGTATATAGTTGCCTTTTAAAAGTATGTAATACAAAGGAAGTCATATTAATTGGTACACAATCTTTGGCTGATTCCTTTCAGTTCAAATATCCTTTGGTATTAAGACAAACATTACTTGCCTTCAGTTAGAAAAAACATTTTTTAGGTTTAAGGGCATACTTAAAATTTCCATCAATCAATACAGCATATAATGTGTTGTTAACTGTAACCTTTAGGAATGATCTTTAGATTGACAATTTTTTGTTGGTAACTATATCCTCCATGCGAAGTAGTGGCTCATAAGGTCACCGCTAAGTAGAACAAGTTCCATTTTTATTCTGACTAAATCCTAGAAAGTAAGTCTCAGAAAAGGTTTTCAAAATTAAAATTTAAATTTTAAGCAAATATGCAAGAGAGTTCTATTGGTTTATTAATTAGAATCTTCTTTCTGTGTAACGTTCTTTTCCATAATTAGCACATATTAGATTTTGGTGTACTGCTAATCTTTTAAGTTTATTTAATGGAGACAACTTTATATTTCTGTACAATAGCCAGTTTAAATCTCAAAATTTATTTCTAATTTTATTTTGTTTAATTAATCAATTGTCTCCGCGAGGTTTTGTGTCAAATGTTATTTTAAGATACTTTCTGATAGAATAAGTTTTTATTTATTTTATTTTTACACGTGTATCGTTTCTTCTTTATTATCTTATATTCCCCATTTTTTGAATCATGAGGGTGTATTGATGAAGCATATCTATCGTAACATTTACGACTGACGCTTACGTCTTTCTTCTATGCTTACAGAACTGTATTGTCTACATAATGGTCGCAATAATTATTGGAATTGATTACCATGGAGTTTCCACTGTATGTTCAAAATATAGAAGAGGCCAAAGTATACAGCTTAAAGGTACTTCTGCCGCCATTGGAAAGATAATTGAGCGTCAGTCACATTTATCAGTAAAGTATATTTCATCAGATAACTTCCTAACTACTGCTGGAAACTTAATGAAAAGTCTCTTAAGAAATTTTTCTTTAACTAGATCGTAATCTAGTCCAGTCTTTTTGTTATTTAATTGCTAAATTTTTATTATAATTTAAATTGGGGCAGTCATTTTATCATCATATGGTTGGTATCTTTATAATTTCTGTCCTTAGTTTTTTGTTACCCATGTTATTTTTTATTTATTTCTAAGATGGATTTCATAGATGAACGTATTTCTGTCAAACCTTGTTTTTTGATACTATTAGTTGTTTTTCTGCAAAGTGTCCGACTTTGTTTGTATAGTTGTAAATTATCTGTGGATTGCTATTCAACTACAAATTGGGTATACAAATGTGTGTACTATGAGGTTTTTTGCTGGCCAGAATGATGGTAAACACCGTCTCAAGCGTCTTTAAGTTTAATAATCGCACCGTTGAGAAAATTCAGTGAGTTTGATCATTGCACTCTTAGACTCTACAACAGTGAACCACTTCTACTGAGTCAAAATGTGGCAACTAACTTTCACGTGTACAATGAACTTTTAAACAATCATTTATTCAAAGCTGATGCACACGAAAATTCCTTTTCCGCACTATGAGTTAGAAGTAGGCACACTAGAGCTGAATTATTTCAGGTTATTATGAAATGCATCTGTGCGTCGTTGATATATTTTCAGTAGCTCAAACAATCATAATGATAATCCTTTAGCCAGACAATCTCAAGAATATTACTACAGACTTTTATGGTACATGCTTCAGTTTGGAATACTAAGTTTCTTGTGCCTGAAAAGATAGTTGTTCGGTTTTTTGGTTGTAGATTTCCGTCATCTAACCCCCTTTACTTTTGCCATCTGTGTATCAGACAATATCGTAAATAATTGTATTTATTCTAATTGTATTTAATTACATAATTGTATTTATCTAGTTGTAATTTATATGCATTTTAAAGTCTGCAGATGTTTTTAATTTGCCCAACAAGGATATATATTTCTTATTAATCAGTCGTCCTTTATGTTGATAATGATCAGTTTAAAGGAGTTCGCATAAAAGTGGATTTCCAGACTCTTTTGACGAAGCTCATGCCATTCCATTATTGCTATTTTCAATGTTTACAGTACGTTCATACTGAGTTGGGCAGTAGAAGAATAATTTGGGACTTATTCCACTTTCACCTACCTTTTGAGGATAAATTGTTAGTTATTGGTGGTATCGTCTCGAAAGTTGCTTCGATACTTACTCAAATAAGACTCCTGAGGTCATTTGTAAAGCCAGCATAGTGGTTTCTGCATCGGTAAAAATTTATAAACGATCTAACGAGTTTTGCAATAGAGTTGGTCAGCTCGTACGAGGCCCCATGTTTAGGTAGGCCATTTCTACTACTGGACAGCTTCTGATATTCAGAAATTCCGATTACGACTGATCATAAGGCACCTAGCTAAATTGACTGCCTGCACGAGTAGCCATAAACTTTAGTTTAGACTATATAGGAAAATACAAAAGTGGGCTCGGGATAGAGATAATAGGGAAAGAATGGATAGATAGATGGGATGCGAGTTGACAGAATTTAGTTTGTTGCTCTACTACGGTTTGACTAGCATGGTCTTTCAGAAACCTAAGAAATTTACTAGATGGAATGAGTTAAGATCCATCAGTATAGCTCGTTGTGTCATTGTCATAAGCCCGCGCTCACGTTAATGTGTTTTTCACACGGGAGAATTCATTGTAATATTTTGCGAATCACAAACCGTTTGAGAATCTGATATATTCAGTGATATTCCTACTAGACCCATTACATAACATGACTATTTCTTATCTTATTTTGTTAAAATTTTTTTTATTTCTTACGCTCTTATTTTGATGAATGTGAAATCATTATTCAGAACGTCCCCTAATCTCGCCAAAGGAACTAGATATGTGTTGTCATTTACAAAACTCACTGAGCCGTAATTTGCTTTGGGTTGTCCAATTTCTTGATCTTTCACGCAGCTGCGCCAATATCATGGTTTTCCACCCGTATTAGCTATGAATCCATTAAAGGTGGGGAATTTCGGCTGGTATCCAAGCACGAGCTCTTGATTAGCAACTAATCTGCTGCTTAACAAAATTCTCGAACCTACATCTGGTCCACTAATTTTAAAGGTAATGATACGATATAATCAACACAGCATTGATCTATTAACTTTACATGTCAATGCATTTATCAATAATGGCCTAGAAAGCTCTTAAGGATATCAGAGTAGACATCTGTAAGTTTCAATCTGTAAGGCTGTATATTTCAAGCATAATAATTCCCTCATGGTTGTTCTCATTGAAATTATATGCCCCTATAGTTCAGTTAAGATCTAAGAACTTCAGACGTTATCAAAGTAGGTTTGTATTTTTTCAGCAGTCTAGCTGCCACTGTACGCATTTCACACATTTTTCTTCAGAGTCTGATAGTGGGAACAAAACAGAGCTTGGATTATCAGAATGTCTTCTGTTGCCTCAAGCAGAGACAATAGGTATCTAATTATGACAGTAATCAAGATCCGTATGCGATTTGCTCATATTTGCCTAAACTTTTTCTTATATAGAGTTTACTTCTTAGATGTGGGCAGTAAAAAGTTGATCTGGTTAGATATCTAGTATTCGCCCAGCAGCCGGTAATACGGCCAGAAGAGTCCTATTGTACCAATTTTACTATTGATTACACAAAGCCCTTTAAAGCTTTATGAACAAAGTCCAGAACTAAATCTAGAGAAGAACTCTATCTGTTCTGGTGACAGAGATTTCATATGAAACAAGTTTCTTCTATGCGGTATTAAAGCTAGACAGTCACAAATAATATGCATGGTAGTTTCTTCATCTTCGAGGCATAATCTGCATTCCGAATTAGCAGATAATCATGGTTTAATAAGATGTTATTTAGAGATCAAGATTTAGAAATCAAGGTTTTATTATAACATTAAGTCGCCGAAGATGTGCGTTTAAAAAAAACTAGCGTAATGCCTTTTATCTCAGCGGCACGTGGTAACTAACACTATAGACAACAGGTTTTGTCAAAGTATCTAATAAGTAGAAAAACTTTAAGGAAATTCGGTTTAAAAATGATTCAAAGCTGAAAGTCCTGGCTCCTATGTTGTGACCAGAAATTTCTGTGAATATACTTTTATAGTTACAGATTTCAAGTAATAAGAACGATAGAAAAATACATTTCCAGTCATACGTCTTTACAAGTACAGTGTAAAATTAAAATTGCAACGTAAGCTTCAGTAAGATATAAAAAAGTTTAAAACGTTTATATTCCATTAAACTAAGTAAAAATGTGTGCTTGGTTTCTTTTTTAAAACCTACCGGAACCCTTCTACTTAAGTTACTGCGGCGTAAAAACAATATTTATTGATCAACCCGTAGGTTGGGAAATTATCCATGTCACCTCAGAATTAGGATAGGATAACTAAACTTCTGTTTTAAGCTTATTTAATTGTACTTTGCCAAACTTAACCAAACTACATATTCTTTCCAAATATACATATTGTTGTAACATATTATAATTTCTATTAAATAGTATTCGGTTGTGAATTACTTTTCAACATTTTTGTATTTTTACTTTTATTTTCAGACTCGTTTGTTAGAAGATGCTTCCCTTCTATGTAACTCGTGGTCCGCCCGACAGAACGTAAGTTTTTGCTAAAAATAAGTCTTATGTAATCCCGAATGATTAAAGAACGCTCAGATAACAAAAATTTTTCAATTTATTAGTGAAACTTTTATTTAATACCCATCCCATGTAACATTCACACTATTGAAATCAATACAATAATAGTATCTGTTGTTTTATATATTAGATTTCATTATTTTTTAAATTTTAAATAAATCAGTGACAAAAAAAACTTTTGTGTGCATATTAAGGTTGAATGATATTTCTACAAAAATTATAGTACTGGCAGCACGCAACAATAATTGTAACCTTGATTGCGTTATTCAAGCCAATGCTTTGGTCATTGCCGTCTGAGAAAAGGAAAAATTGACAAAAAGTATATAATTCAAACAATGTTGCAGCTGTGCTTCGTTCGACTTGAGAGTGCAAATTCAATGCATAAAATAAAAGTAAATAAAATGTTAATGTTTTTCAATAATAAAACAGCAAAAAACAAAAATAAATTTGGATTGTTATTATTAACACATGTGCATTGTAAAAATAATTTTTTGTAAAAGACGTCTTTAAAAATATAATGGTTATTGAAAGTTATAAAGTATAATTTCACAATTCGAGCAATTTACTTATATAAAGATTAAATTATTAAATTGTTTATTGACCATATAACTGCATTCCGAAGCCACCCCATACCCAATTTTAAAATTTTTTTGAAGCTTTGGATATTCAACTGTATATCAAGCTTCATCTCTGTTGTGTTTTTAGTTTCAGTTTCTGTGTATCAATTTCGTACTCATATACAGCACAGTGCAATAATAAACATTTTTTTCGTTTTTTTATTTTAATTTAAAACAATGAAATACGTTAAAAGTTTAAAGTAAAAAAGAAACTTTGAAGCATTTTAATATGCATAATTATTTACATTGAGTGTTTCGTGCATCGTCACGTTTTAAAAATTGGTGTTAAAACAAGTAAAAAGCGAATAAAATCTAATATATACTACATAAATAAAGAAAGTAGTGCTAAACTTAAATATACATTTGGATTAACTATGTATTGAATGTGTGAAAGACATCACATAGATCGTTTATGTATACTTTGCGTGACTCTACGGCTCTTGGTTTAAGATGTTCCCTTTCTTCTGATTTGGTTTCTAGACAGGTTTTTATGATACTAGTATTTCTGAATCAAGAGCTGCCTGTATTATTTTGCCCAATTTATTTCTCTTGAATATTTTGATAAGCTGCCAATACCAGATTTTTTACAGTTCTTCAAAAACAGTTTTCCTAGAGTTATAGCCATGCCCCTTGACAATGCTAAACACCTATACCGAAATAATAGCTTAATAATAGGTAATCCACAACAACGTGACAAGGTGTTTCTGTTGTGACATTTCTTTGCAAAACGCTGTACCGACGAAAATTTATTCCAAATTTCCGCCAACATAAATATACACTAAAAATACCACTTAAAGATCCATTAAACAGCATCGCCCTCTCTCATCAAATTTTTCAACCATTTTTTAAACACGCCTCATAATAAACAATAAAATAAACAAGAACATAAAATCATACATGCATTTCAACGATGTTTTCGCTTTCATCCTTTATGCGCGTACATAAGTTAATACCAACAATATTTTCCGTTAATAAATAACATTTCTTGCGAAATATTTCTTATTAATTGCACTAATTTTTGCAACAACGAGTTCGTTGACATGCATTTCCTGTTTTCGTTGGTTATTCATGTTATTCACCTGACCGATTAAAAGTGCTGACGCCCTGTCTGCATTATTTGGTCACGTTGAATTTAAAGGTGATGATCAATGTTTGATGATAAGTAAAAACTGTAGAATAAGTTAGTTGTAAATTAACAATACGAAAATAAAGACATAGTCTTTAAAAATAAAATATAAAGGAATAAGAAGACATAGTCTTCCCTAATTTTTATTTATAAAATTATAATACGGAATAAGAAGACATAATCTTCCCGGTTATGTTAAAAGTAATAAACCAATAAAACATAATTTTTTTTAAACATAAAATAAAGTGTTTTATTAAGTTATATATAATACATGAGCATTTTTTTATCTCATTTTTTTGTAAAATGCGAAATTTGTTCGAGTAAAAGTAAAATTTGAAATTTTAAAAAATGCGTTGACGAAAATCAAAAAATTTTGATATTACTTCAAACACGCTCGTGTTTTTACGTATACAGTCGGATTTTGTCGGCATGCAAAATTTCATTTATTTTGAGAAGTGGAAGCGTAAACATCGTTTAAATGCACGCATGATTTATAGTTAGCAGACGATGTTTTGCAACAATGAATGAATTGTATCTTTTATTTTAAATGTTACATATTTGTATTTTCTACCTAGGTAAAATTGCTAAAATACTAATAACCTTGGGCTAACAAAAATAATAACCAAACATTAAATTACAATGAATATTTTATTTTAAATATTAATTGCATTGTGCACCTACGAAAAATGTATTACTAAAACACTTCAAACAAAAGATTTAAAATATTAAAATAAATAATAAAATATTATATATGAAAATACACATATAAATTAAAATTATAAAAATAAATATTTCAACATTTTTCGTTACGAAATTAAGCATAGCAGCCGATGTTGACACTTCAGCGATTGCTTTAATACTGATGAGTGAACAAATTTTGCTTTGTTTGCTGGAGGCGTGTTTAAAAAATTGTTGAAAAATTTGGTGTGTAATGGCGAGAGACGACTTCGTGCGTTATTAGCGGGCGATGCTGTCTAACGGCCACATGAACTAATAAAACAAAAAAATATAACACCGAACTAAAAGAAACACATCACAACACAGGTCTTTATTTTTTCACATCACTTTCTTCTACATTTTAACACAAAAAATGATATAATCATTCACTAAATACAAATGTTGAAAATATCTGGAATAAAAATTGTTTAATAAATATTTAATATTTTTATTACAAAATACTTACCATAATCCACTCCCGCACGTAAATAATTGCAGCATGCACTTCCAGTTTATCCAAGTGATCTGCAATTATATCTAAAAGAAATATAGAAATATAATTGAAAAAAAATAAATAATACACTAACCTTATTTATTTATTAATTATGTTTATTTATTTTTAAGCACTATACAATATTTATTTTGTTATAAAAAAATAAAATAAATATTAAATTAAACAAGAGAAAATAGCGAAACAAAAATTTTCATAGAATTCGCCGTAAAGAAAGGCCTACAAAACAAAAAGAAAGAAAGCTGAAAGTGCAGCTTAAAACATCGCACGCAAAATGGTAGAAAAATTGCAAACGGCAAAATAAACAAAAATAGCTGTAGACCAAAATGATATGCTACACAAAAGCTCGGTCAGTTTAATATTAAAGATGGCGCATTTTGTAAAAAGATAGATCATTAGTTTGGGCGGAATTACGTCAAATTGGTGGAGTGTTTGATCATTCGTCTTGGTGGTATTACGCTAAATTTAATAAAAAGATATATATATGCAGATAAGGCAGTGAAGAGAAAGAAAGAAGTAAGGGAGGAAAAAGAAATGACGAGAGAAAAAAAGAGTTTCTTTGTTAAAAAACACCCGTTTTTGAGAAGTTGATAAGTGTTAAGAAGTTTTTGATAAGTTTAATATATTTTGAGAAGTTTGAACTTTTAAAGTTAAAAAAGAAAAAACCTCTAACTTTTACTTTATTATTAAAGAAGTTATTATTAAAGAAGTTTATTATTAAAGTTTTTGATAAGTTTAATATCTTTTGAGAAGTTTGAACTTTTAAAGTTAAAAAAGACAAAAAAAAACATTAAATTTTATTTTATTATTAAAGAAGTTTTTTTTGGATTAAATAAAAGTCTGAGGTTCTGTAAGAGTATCGAAAAATATTGTATATTTTTTAAAGAAATGAAATGAAAGAAATGGTGTCAGAAGTGCACAAAAAAAATAGCTGACCTTGAAGTGTATATATTATATATATTAATAAATAATTAAGCGGTCGAAAAGAAAAGAAAAAAAAACTGAAAAAATCGCTAATGAAAAATTTGCACGAATCGCTATCAGAATTAACCACTAAGCAATTGCAAGAACTTTTAAGAAAATACGGCTTACCACATTGGTATAATTTAAAAGTAAATTTAATTGACCGGTTAGAGAAATTCATGGAAAATTCAGAGAAAAATTGGAAAACTGAATTAAAAAATAACGAAATAACACTCAATAAAGAAGAAAAATTAGTGAACGCGAACAATAATAATACGATCGAGAGCGACGCGGCGGACGGTGAAACATTAAACATGTCAAGTGAACCGGTACAAAATAATATAAACTTTAAGGAGGTCGAAGAATCGTTAGAATTGTTCGATGGTGAGTCAAATAAAAAAATAGAGGACTGGTTGATTGATTTCGAAAGCATTTTGGTAGTGTGTAAATGGAATCAAGTACAAAGATTCCTATATTGCAAAAGATTATTACGTGCGGCTGCAAAGTTGGCTGTGGAAGCAGAAACTGGAGTCAACAGTTGGGAGATATTAAAACGAACTCTTAGAACTGAATTTGGTTGCCAGGAATTGGAAAATTTGCACAAAAAATTGGAAAGTACGAAAAAGCTAAGTAACGAATCATTCTGGGAATATTTTTATAAAATGAAAAAAGTTGCTTCTAGAGGTACAGTCGAAGAAACACACTTAATTGAGTACATTATAGCAGGCATACCGGATAGTTCACTAAACAAGGCCACACTCTATCAGTCTTGTAGTCTTGAGCAGCTAAAAATTAACCTCAAAGCTTATGAGAAGTTTTAGGCCGATCAGGAGAAGGAAAAAAGATGCCAAGGTCGAAATAATTACGATAACTATTATAGTGGAAACCAGGTCAGCAAAAGATGCAATAACTGTGGAGCGGTGTCACACACAACACAACATTGCCCAGATAGGGGAAGAGGAAGAAGATGTTTTAAGTGCAATGAATTTGGTCACATTACCACAATATGTCAAAATAATACAAATTTTAGACGACCTGTAAG